GAGAGAGAGAGAACGAGAGAGAGAACGAGAGAGAGAGAAGAGAGAGAGAACGAGAGAGAGAGAGAGAGAGACAGAGAGAGACAGAGAGAGACAGAGAGAGAGAGAGAGATAGACGCTGAGCTGCAATCAGCTGATCCGGAGCATAGAGAGAGAGCTGCGGTCCGCGGGAACACGGACAATTTGCGAATGAGTTCTGCCTTTAGTAAGCTGAATTTATCAATAATTTGTCAATAAATGTGGGCGAAAAACGTCACTTGTCCGTCGGACAAGTCAATGGAAAGATGTACTTGTCCGATATTGTAAATAACACGTCCCGGACGATCGGACGTGTGCTTTTTCGCACACTGATAGCAGAGAACAAATTATTATAAAAACAATGCTTGATTTAGAAGCATGGTGTTTTAGAGTCAATATTTCTTGAGTAACCATCTCTGTGTTGGCCTGTGTTGCATTCAGGGGAAATGCATTATTTGCTATGAACACCAGGGGTCAGTATTTGATTATATCAGATGTTAAAGCTGTTGACTTGAGGCCTTTATCACAGCACACATTTTCACTTGACAGTTTGAAAACACAGGTATTACAACACTATCTAATACACTAAGGATGTTTCTGTTATATTCACACCTGTGTTTTCCCCCTGTAACAACTCAGCATGACTTCTGTGAAAAGGCATCTGTAGAGCACTTTGACTTGTGTATGGTGTCTTTTCCCAATTATGTATCAGAATCAGAATGCATTTGTTCGTCCCACAGAGGAAAATTACAATTGTTCCTGTACCAATAACAGTTTAGCGATAGAGCAGCCAGGTGAAAGTACAAAAGGTGGTAGAGTAAATTGCACAGCTTAACGGAATGTATAAATATTGCACATAAGTAGTATTGCACAACAGGAGTGTTATAGTCTTTAGCCGCTTTCACACCAAGTACTTTGCCGTACTTAGTGCCGGCACTTATTACCAAGTACCAATCGCGTTCACAACGGAGTACTTTTCCCTGAGGGAGGATTACGCAAATGAGCCGCTGACGTCACTTCTTCTTCTTCTGCTTTGGGTTTACTGGCAGGCCGCAAACCACTTCACGGCGTATACTGCCACCCGAAGTCCCCGGCCGGAAGTCCCCGGAGTTGGGGACTGGCTTCAGTAGAAGCTGCTGGGACTCCCAGCAGCTTCTTTTTCATTTCATAAAATATGATGTGAGAATCTGAATGTTGATTTATGAGCATTTGTAACGTTCACTGCCTTATCGTGTCTTTGACAAGGCAACACCCCCTGATATATTTCATCATCACTGCAGCTTCATACGGGACTGACCACAGATCAGATTAAACCTCGTGCAGCACTCTATAAAGTGTCTTATTTTACGGACATGTTCTTTCCCGCCTATGAAATGTCATGTAATCCATGCCTAACATGCTAAAACATGCACTAGTTGTGTTAAATGTACTTTTAAATACAGTTGTTAAACAAGGGGTTTCAAAATATTATTTAAAATATCTCTCAAGCCTCCCCCCCCCCCCCCCATAAAATGGCATTTTTCTCTTGTTCCTTCTTCTTGGAGATCAGCTTGCATGTCAAATCCAACATTTAAAAATATTCTTTTTATTGACTTGTTTTGCTATTATTGTGATGATACAGTATATGCCTCCTGTAATGGTCGAAGCAGTTTGTTAAATGATTATCACATTTAAATGAACATCACTTTCACACTGAACGTGTGTCCGACAACATGCAGTACTGTTAGACTTGTCAGTTCTGCTTAGGAAGGTTCCTAACGGATGATAGGAAAGGAGCTTTGATACTTCCTTTAGAATCTCCTTAAGCTTAGGGAACACTGGACCATCCTTTAGGAAAGGAAAGGAGAACATTCTGTCCCACAATACCTTGCGGACGCAACCGTGACTGAACATTCGGTCTTTCACGGAAACAACCGACCGCGACCGAGTTTCAAGTTTCATGTTTGTTGCATTAGATTGGATCAATGCATGCAGGAACGTTCAACTTCAGAAAAACACTTCTCAAAATGTTTTGACGTCTACGACAAATTAAAATATACAAAAATGTAAAGTCACTTCTAGAAGGTGGGGTCCTACTTATCACAGGAAGTGGGTGCAGCCTCTCTCAGATAAAAACCACTTGTTTAGAGACATCTCATCAGAACTAGAGATAGAGGAAGCAGAGAGATGGACAATCAAGATGGATGAGTTCAAACGGATTAAAATGTCTGTATTTCTCATTCTGCTGCTTCAGTCTACAGGTAAGAGTAAAGATGATGTGTATGAACAACAGGAATGTTAAAATGGCTAATTCATTCATTTAGTTAATTGAGTATTAATAGCTAACGTTCATTTGAACATGACAGTAAAGTAGTTAGTTTGTTTTCCAGGAGGTAAATAGTGAGTCACTTCTTTATGTTTCTCTGGTCTTTACAGCAGCAGCAAATGGACAGCCTTCCCTCTTCTTCACTGTCAGAGTTGGAGAGGAAGTCACTTTGCCTTGTAGCGGTGTGAGAGATGATCAGGACGGATGTAACCGTACTGACTGGCTCGTCACTAATTCAGGATGCACAACAGTAGAGCTGGTTGAACTTGGACAGATTGTTGAAGAAGCTCGAGCTGAATCAGACAGACTGAGAGTGACAGAGAACTGTTCTCTGGTTATAAAGAATGTCACAGAGGAGGATGTTGGTCGTTACTTCTGGAGACAGTTCAGATCAGGACAAGATGAAGACGCTCTGGTTCATCTGTCTGTTGTCACCAGTGAGTATATTTACATCGTAGTGTTTTAAACTGTCTCTTTAGAACAATAAACTGAAACATTACAATAATTATGATCACACTGATGACGTTAATTTGACTCCTATTTTCTTTCTCTCACAATATCATCAGTGACTGAACATCAGAACAACGATGAGGTGACGTTACGCTGCTCTGTGAAGGCATCTGTACGGTGCAGACACTCAGTGAAGTGGCTGTTTCGAAGTCGGGATGTGGATGAATATCAAGAAGATATGAAGACATCAAAGTCTCACTACGAGGCCTCTGTCACATTTCTGACTTCTCGTGTTGACTACAGATCAGGGTTTCATTTATTTACATGTGAAGTAACTGAGTACATGGGAGAAGTACTTCTGTTTCCCTTCAGCACTCCGTCCTCAGGTGAGAACACATGTTGAGATGTTTAAAGTCAAATCAAACTGACCCATTCATTACAAACAATATTTGTATTTTATGGATTTAAAGTATTCGTATTAAATCACAACAGATGGTTCACTAAAGACAGTTTGTTACTGAAGACTTCATTTTTAACTTCACACATGTTGTGTTCTTTTAAGGAATACATCTGAACAATAATTACTTTATGAACTCATTTAGTTCCAGATAAAGTTACTCCATTTAGATCAAGTTCATTTAAATCTCTGATACATCTCTCTTTGTCCTATATTAGAACTCTAAAACCTACAACATGAATATCTTCTATGTTTGTATTCTCTCTCCAGGTCTCTTGAGGCTCATCGTGGTGTCTGTGGGTTTAGCAGCTCTCATAATGATCGTTGTGGTGGTCAACATATGGACAAGAATTAAAGGTGAGAACATTCACAGATGAAACGTAAATATATTTTATATTTTATTTGTAGAAACTCAAGTCGACTTTCTCTTTCAGAGAAGAAAACACAGATGGAGGAAATCACTGTGAGTTTTTACAACAAAATACTGAACTGTTTTTCCAGTTGTTTCTTTACACTCTTCATTATAATCTGTATAAAGACAGAAGAGAGAGAAACAGACAAAGGCTGCTTTACCTAAATTACATCACATCCTACAGGATTTTCCAAATGTAATGTTTGGATCTAAAACCAACTCAGTGTTGTTGTTGTTGTTGTTGTTGTTGTTTTCCTCAGGTGCGTTATGATGTAGATGATGGTACAGTGAACTGAGAAAACATCAGACCTCCTGATGGAGTTTGAGCAACACTTCTGCCTCCATCAGACTCCACTGATCAACAACGTCTACATCCATCACCGTGTTTCACATCAGGAAGACTTTAAGATCATTTTGAGTTACTCATTGTTCTGTTCTAAGTTACATTTATTTAGCTTGGTTTTAACTTCCTTTAGCAGGAAAGAGCATTTCTCCTTTTTTTTTTTTTTACTTCCTCATATGGCCTGACGAGTTCAGAGCTCATTTAAATATGTACTGATTGTTTTTGAAGATACAGCAGCTTGAGGTCATTATTTTATCTCTGTGTGCACGAGAATCATTTTAACCTCCTTTCATTTAGCTCTGCTGTGTTGGGATGTGTTTGAGGGGTCTTCACCCTTAATGAAGTCAGTAACAGTCCTTTCTTTATAACATGTGATGACCATATCATCTGCAAATAAATACATGTTTATCTTAGTCTTACCCTGTGTTCTGTGATTCCTCCGTGTATTTCCAGTGTTTAGTGGACAGTGTTTATAACTCTGAATGTCCTTTACATCACATCTCATTCAGACAAGAAGTGCAAACAACTTCCATGACGAGCAAGCATCCTGCATTAGCTTTGAATCAGAACAACCATTTTAAGGTGCTTTATTTTTACATTAGAGCAAGTTAAATGAAAATGGACGGCTTCAAATAAAAAAAACTGCAATGTTCACAGCAGCCTCAAACCGGACTGACCACAGATCAGATTAAACCTCGTGCAGCACTCTATAAAGTGTCTTATTTTAGGGACATGTTCTGTCCTGCCTATGAAATGTCATGTAATCCATGCCTAAAATGCTCAAACATGCACTAGTTGTGTTAAATGTACTTTTAAATACAGTTGTAAAACAAGTGGTTTCAGTGTGTACTTTTTAAAAAAAATTCTGTCCCACAATACCTTGCGGCCTGAACCGTGACTGAACATTCGGTCGTTCACGGAAACAACCGACCGTGACCGAGTTTCAAACATTGTTTGGCTGTCTTGACGTCTTCGACAAATTCAAATATACAAAAATGTAAAGTCACTTCTAGAAGGTGGGTCCTACTTATCACAGGAAGTGGGTGCAGCCTCTCAGATAAACCACTTTTTTAGAGACATCACATCAGAACAAGAGATAGAGGAAACAGAGACGGAGAATCAAGATGGATGAGTTCAAACTGATTAAAATTTCTTTATTTCTCGTTCTGCTGCTTCAGTCTACAGGTAAGAGTAAAGATGATGTGTCTATGTATAGCAGGAACATTTAAAAAGCCAATTTATAGATGTTGTTCAATTGATTTTATCAGCCAACCTTCATTTAAACCTGGGGTGTCAAACTCAATTTCATTGCCGGCTTCATTAGCATTATATATCATATATAATATATATATAAAATAACGTATTATATTACATTATTGCCTCTGCATTGGATTATTATTGGTTCTGGTAATAACTTCATATATAACTACGTCTGGAAGCAGAAGTCTAGTGCAAATATTCAACAATTGCTTAAAAAAATGGGTTTGGTAACAAAAACATGGTTGTGCATCGACATATTGTGAATGCACATAGACACAAAATGACTGCATGTGTTTGCTCACTAACATTATTCTGTGTTACTGTTACATAAATCCCGTGAATGTAGGAGACTTAGTTAGCCTGATCATATCTCATCAATTAGATATTGATAATTAGGTCAAGCACTATTTAAGTAGGCTATAAATAATTTTAATTCAGCAACAATTACATTACATTACATGACATGTCACTTGTTAGACGCTTTTATCCAAAGCGACTTACATACTCAATACTGTGGACAATCCCCACAGGAGCAATTTGGGGTGAAGTGTCTCAGGGACACAACGACATGCTGACTGCAGTGGGGTTTGAACCTGTGCTCCCCTGATCTGAACACCAACATTAGTCCACTGCGCCACACGCCTCCTTAATACAATCTTTGAATAGTCTGAAAGCCAAGAGTTTGAAACCCCCTGTCCCAGACCCTGTCACTCACGGGAGGATCACAGAGGAGACGGTGAACGCAGAAGTTTTCCTCCTGCATTCACAAACTTTACACTGTCTGAATATATGACGTTCATACTCTGCAAGCCAAGACCTCATGTTTTTGAATCGACCAAAGCATCTGAAACGCACGTTTTTTTTAAAACATATTGACACCGACTGACTCTCACTTCCTCCAGCTCTTTCACTGACCGCCTCAGAGTGCCGCTGATTAAAACGGCTGATATAAAGTCGCTTCAGTGGCATGTCACAGAAGGAGATGCATTGTGGGAGATGTAGTTTATGGGCACCGTGGATCTATAAAGCGTCATATAAGCGTATAATAGACGTTTTATCTTCTTTGCAAGCTCTCGCGGGCCACATACAATGAGGTCTTGGGTTTAACACCTGTGATTTAAACACTACAGTCAAGTAGTTTTTTTTCTGGGAGGTAAATAGTGAGTTTAACTCTTGGAATCCAATAATGAGGCATATTGAAACTTTGGTAAATGTAGGATTTTCCTAACGGACCGTCCACACAGCAGCGTTAAAAAAATCTTGAAACGCTTCTGCCCATTCACTTTGAATGGGGTGACGTCACTTTCCCTCACTTTTCGCCGAACTGCATTGTGGGCAGGCGAGCGGAGATTTTCAGGATTTTCAGGATTCAAAGTTGAACAATGTTCAACTTTTGAAGCTGAGGTGGAAGCGTCAGCCAATCAAATCCTGTGTACGCAAATCTGACAGTTCAAGCTCTAGCCAATCAAACGGCGTGTATGCTGGGAGAGACATACCGCAGGTCATTTCCTCATATTCCAAAAAATGGAGGAGAAATGAGCGGTAGGGAATCACCCTGGTGCTTTATGACCAGTCCCTATTTACCTACCGGGATACAAACCGGAGGAGCCAGGCATGGAGGGAGGTGGCAGAGACAGTGGTATGTTTTCGCCTGTTTGGGGAGTTTATATCCAGTTTACTTCAAACTCTTTTGCTTCGTATGTCGCGGGCGGGAGATTCATGTGATTGGTTGTTCGCAAAAAATCCCCAAGCTTCAGATACGCCCACCTCCAAGATTTTTTTAACGCTGCTGTGTAGACGGTCCGTAACACCGACTTCTTTATATTTCTCTGGTGTTTACAGCGGCAGTTAAAAGACAGCCTTCCCTCTTCTTCACTGTCAGAGTTGGAGAGGAAGTCACTTTGCCTTGTAGCGGTGTGAGAGATGATCAGGACGGATGTAACGGTACTGACTGGACCTTCAATCATTTAGGACCCAGAGAAGTAGATCAGGTTAAACGTGGGCAGATTGTTGAAGAAGCAAAAGCTAAATCAGACAGACTGAGTGTCCCAGAGAATTGTTCTCTACAGGAGGTCAGAGAGGAGGATGCTGGTCGTTACATCTGCACAGAGATCAGATCAGGACGACAACAAGGAGAAGACGCTCATGTTTACCTGACTGTTGTTAGCTGTGAGTATTAACATCACAGTGTTGTAAACTGCATCTATAAATATACTGAAACATACCAGCAGTTATGATTACAGTGATGAAGCTAATTGAACTCTTGTTGTCTTTCTCTCTCAATATCTCCACCTTCAGTGACTGAACATCAGGACAATGATGAGGTGACGTTACGCTGCTCTGTGTTGAATAATGCATGGTGCAGACACACAGTGAAGTGGCTGTTCCAGGGTCAGGATGTGGATAAAGATCTCAAAGATATGAACACATCAGAATCTCACTACGAGGCCTCTGTGACATTTCTGACTTCTCATGTTGGATACAGATCAGGGCTTCATTTATTTACTTGTCAACTAACTGATGATCACACAGGGGAAGTATTTCTGTTTCCCTTCAGCACTCCGTCCTCAGGTGAGAAAACATGCTGAGATGCTCAAAGTCACTTTAAACTCACCGATTAATTAAATAAAACATTTGTATTTTATGGCTTTAAAGTGCTATAACTATATCACAACAGATGGTACACTAAAGACAGTTTGATACTGAAGACTTTTATATTTTATAATAGGATCATTTTTAACTGAACACGTTTTGCGTTTTTGGCTTATTTTTAAAGAATACATCAGAAACCTACAACATAAATGTTTGTATTCTCTCTCCAGGTCTCTTGAGGCTCATCGTGGTGTCTGTGGGTTTAGCAGCTCTCATTATGATCGTTGTGGCGGTCAACATATGGACAAGAATTAAAGGTGAGAACATTCACAGATTTACAACAAAATACTGAACTGTTTTTCCAGTTGTTTCTTTACACTCTTCATTATAATCTGTATAAAGACAGAAGAGAGAGAAACAGACAAAGGATGGTTTACCTAAATTACATCACATCCTACAGGATTTTCCAAATGTAATGTTTGGATCTAAAACCAACCCAGTGTTGTTGTTGTTTTCCTCAGGTGCGTTATGATGTAGATGATGGTACAGTGAACTGAGAAAACATCAGACCTCCTGATGGAGTTTGAGCAACACTTCTGCCTCCATCAGACTCCACTGATCAACAACGTCTACATCCATCACCGTGTTTCACATCAGGAAGACTTTAAGATCATTGTTTTGTATGAAGTTAGGTTTATTTAGCAGCTGGATTTGAACCTTTTAGCATTTTACTTTAATGTTTTACTTTCTTATATTGCCTGAAGATTTCAGAGCTACTTTTAATATCTACTGATTGTTTTTGAAGATACAGCAGCTTGAGCTCAGTTTAATATCTCTGTGTGCTGTGTCTGCTGTGTTGGGATGTGTTTGAGGGGTCTTCACCCTTAATGAAGTCAGTAACAGTCCTTTCTTTATAACATGTGATGACCATATCATCTGCAAATAAATACATGTTTATCTTAGTCTTACCCTGTGTTCTGTGATTCCTCCGTGTATTTCCAGTGTTTAGTGGACAGTGTTTATAACTCTGAATGTCCTTTACATCACATCTCATTCAGACAAGAAGTGCAAACAACTTCCATGACGAGCAAGCATCCTGCATTAGCTTTGAATCAGACCAACCATTTTTCTTTTTACATTAAAGCAAGTCAAATGTAAATGGATAGTTTCATCAAAGACAGAGACCCTTCAGCTCTCATAAATAAGATGTGAGAATCTGCAATGTCGACTTAACTATTAGTAACGTTCGCTGCCTTATCGCTCCAGAAAGCCAACCCACCCCCCCTTACTGGATATCCGTTGTTTATCTCTGCAGCTGATCTAATACATTTCAACATCACTGCAGCTTCACACCGGACTGAACACAGATAACATATTGAACTCACATTAACCCCTCTAAAGGGTTTAGTTTGAGGGTAATTCCAGAATTGGAAGACATTTCTGTAGCACCAGAAATGTCATATAATCGATACCTATAGTTGTGTTAAATATACTTATTACACTGCAGTGTTTCCCCTACCATTGTCTTGGAGGGGCGCTGCGCCCCGCCAACGGAGCCCCGCGCCCCCCCTGAAATTCAAGGTGTTTAAAAGAAAAATGTATATATATATATATATATATATATAGCACCAAATTGCAACTAATCTATATCTACTGTCACTTTTCACATTGAACATGTGCTCTTTTATTAAATAAACTAAACGCTTTCATTTTAAGTTGTGAGTTCAGTGTTTTTGACCCTAAGAAACACTGATGCATTAATCAATAACAATAATCCACAGCTCCTCTCTCTGCTCCAGAGGATTTAAAATATATATATCCCAATGCCACCCCAAATGTTTGCTCTAGAGTGGATTTTGTTCACATTCACATGACTGGGAAGCTGTCAATTTATTGCAAATGAACATTGTTCTTTTGTCATTGAAAGAGTAATTTGTTGATGGTCCCCAAGTGAACACCGACCGGCCTTTTGCAAATGTTTTGCACACGTCTGCACAGCCCTCCACTTTAAAATACAAGTCACTGTAGTTTGCCATTTACTCATTGTCCTATGTGTTTTTTTTAGCTTTTACGGTTCTTTGTATATTTACATTTACATTTGGTGTAAATACTTGTCTTTAGTATTATTTTGTTATGCTAAATTGTTTCTTAAAAATGCTTGGTTTTTATTATCCCCATATATTTATTTTTTAACTACTATTGCAAATTACAATTCCCTGTTTTTGCTAACGTATCTGGCAATAAACTTGATTCTGATTTTGATACTTCTTGTATGGCGGAGAAGAGCTCACCATCGAAATACAGCCAGGATAAACTGACGCTGAATATCCAACCTAAAACCTAGCTTCACCAAATATCCAACCTAAAACTAACTTCACCGCCATACAGAACCTCACTACAAACAGTGGCGACTGGTCATTAGGGGCAGGTGGGGCACAGCCCCACCTAGTGTCAGCAGAAAGTATTACACATAATGAAAACAAAAAATGCAAAAAGATGCAAAAAAAGAAATAAAAAAATATATAAAATATATTTTAAGGTCATGTTTAATCATCTGATTCGTCTGTGCATTGCTGTGTTCTTCTAATTAGTGTCTACAGTGCCGTTTTGAGCCATGTGGGACAAAACCTGATTCTGCCCCTCCCTCTCACTGTCAAAGTGAACGGTGACTGTAAAAACTACACTGCGCATGCTCAGAGTATTTTTCAATGTAATGTGTGTGGCGAAAAAAAAAAGACCATAGGGGCACAGAGCTGCCATCCCCACCATACGTCAGCTCACATTATTCAGAACTGATTGGCTGTAAATATGTCACGTGTGCAGTGCTGCGAAACGTCACGTGTAGTGTGAAGAGAAGACGAGAGAGCAGCATATAGCTAACATCACCAGCGATTAAAAGAAGTAAAAAAACGGAAAGAAAATGAATGAAGTTGACCATTTACTGGAGCACACATTTGAGACACTTAGTCTCGGAGAGAAACTGGAGGTAAAGCGCCTCGGTGCCCACCATCCACCGGATTTCCAAATGGTCCAGACTGCGGGCAAAGTGAACCGCGGGTTTAATGCTGAGTGGTTTGCTAAAAAGAAATGGCTAACGGCGAGCATCCAGAAGAATTCCCTCTTTTGCTTTCCTTGCCTGCTTTTTGGTGAAGATCAAGGTACTTGGTCGAGGACAGGTTACAAGGACTTAAAGCATCTTTCGGAGAGGACAATGAAGCATGAGAGCAGCAACAGTCACTTGGAAAATGCCGTAAAATTGGGATTACTGGGAAGGGTGAATGTTGCAGCTCAGATTGACAGCGCCTACAGACGCGGCATTGATGATCATAATAGAAAGGTGGAAGAAAACAGGTACGTGTTGGGTCGGATCATCACCTGTATTAAACTGTGTGGGAAATGTGAGACAGCACTGCGGGGCCACGACGAGTCGGCGGACTCTCTGAATCCAGGGATATTCAGGTCAATTTTCGAGACAATGTGTGAGGGCGATTCCAGGCTTCGACGGCACTACGAAGCTCAGCCCGTTTTCAAAGGGACATCAAGCACCATACAGAATGAACTCTTGGACTGCATGTATGATGTGTACAGGGAGGAAATATCCAAGCAAGTGGACAACACATCATTTGTTGCCGTTCAGGCCGACGAGACAACCGATGTCTCATGTAAATCGCAAATGGTGATTGTGCTGCGATACATTATGCCTGACCTCACAGTTACAGAGCGTTTTTTGGAGTTTGTGGAAGTAAAGGACAAAACTGGTGTAGGTCTCTCTAACAGCATCAAGGCTGTTCTTGAACCCCTGAAGCTGAAAGAAAAGCTAATCGCTCAGACCTATGACGGGGCGGCCGTCATGAGCGGTAAACGTGCGCGGGGTACAGACGGTCATGAAGGAGACGTACCCAAACGCTCAGTTTGTTCACTGCTACGCCCACCAACTGAACCTGACCCTGCAGCAACTGTGTTCAGCAAGGATGAGCATCCTGAAGGTGTTTTTTTGCAGATCTAACTGCTTTTTCCACTTTTTTCTCCGGTGCTCCAAAACGTGTTGCAGCTCTTGCAGAGGCAACACAGAGACGCATACCACGGCCACCGGCTGTGAGATGGAACTTTAAAAGCAGAACTGTGAACGCGGTTTGGGAGACCCGAGAAGCACTTCTTCAGTGTATGGACCATATACGCACACAACCAGGATGGGATGCGGTCACCATAAGTGAGGCATACGGCCTGTCAAAGAAACTGCGGGACCGAGCATTTATGCAGCTCCTGGAGTTTTTTTCGTTGCTTATGCCAGAAGTGGATGTTTTATACAACACTCTGCAAAAACGAACCATCGATGCACCTGGGATCAACAGCGCGCTCTGCCGCTTCAAGGAAAATGTCCAGAAAATGAGGCAGCAAACTGATGCATTGGCCGCCACCACTCATGATGGAACAGACGAGCCAGGCCGACGAGTCAGCAGCACAGCGCCGGTAATGAAGGAGGCATGTGACACAGTCATCTCACAGGTGGAACAGAGGTTCTCACAGAGTGACCATTTGATCGCTGCAAAGCTCGTTGACAGCTCACTCTTCCCACAGCATGTCCTGTCATTTCCTACACCTGAGCTTGACTGCGCAGTGAAATTGTGGCCTGCTTTGGGAAACAAGGAGAAGTTGAAGTCTGAGCTGACCACGCTCTACCGCCACAGTGAACTTCACACTGGAAACACTGCCCTGTCTCTGTTGAAATCCATTCACGAGAACAACTTGGAGGATACGTTTGCTGAGACTGTTATTTTGATCAAAATAATAGTAACAACTCCGATGACGACATCCGAGTCAGAGAGGAACTTTTCCACCCTCAAAAGGATAAAGACTTTCACTCGCAACACCATGGGACAGCTGCGACTTAACGCATTGGCCATGCTTTCAATTGAAAGCCAGTTGATCCAGCAACTACAGGACTTCATCCCCAAAGTGATAGAAACATTCTGTCAGAGGAAGGACCGCCGTGCCGCTTTTCTTTTCAAGTGAGCCTTCAGCTTTGGTAAGTTCATTTATGTCATATATTTTGTTGATCTTCTGTGTTTTGCCTCCTGCTGGATCGATTGATATTGTGACCCTCGGTGATGAGTGTCTGTGTTTTCCTTATATTTACAGTCTATGGTGTTTTAATGCTAAAGCATTATGGTGGTTGTTGTTGTTGTTGTTAAGAATTGCTTTGTGATGGTGCCCTTTACTTATGTATTAAGGGTGCATTACAATATGACATCCCCACGCTGTGGTACCGTACATTTACGTACACAGTGTACGTAAATGTATGCGCTGACAGTGTTGCTCCGTGTGGTCTTCAGTATGTCATTTGACACTCCCCCTCTCTCTCTCTCCCCCCCCTCTCTCTCTCTCTCCCCCCCATCTCTCTCTCTCCCCCCCTCTCTCTCTCTCTCTCTCTCTCCCCATCTCTCTCTCCCCCCATTTCTCTCCCCCTCTCTCTCTCTCTCTCTCCCCCTCTCTCTCTCTCCCCCCACCTCTCTCTCTCTCTCTCTCCCCCACCTCTCTCTGCCCCCCCAGTTTTGTACACATAGAAACGCCACTGACTACAAACATAGCTAACGGACAGTTCAGTAAACAGTAGTGTCACACAGAGAAAGGGGGTGTGTATTTCACTCACCCTTATTTGTAGAGGAAGGCCATTATCCTGTCTTCTTACATACAGTAGAAGTGAAGTGGTCAATAACCGTTGAATTCCCGCCAGCCTTCATAGTACAGCGGATAAGCACAACAATTGTGCATTTTATGAGAAAAGCTTGACATTTCTAACATAGTTAGAGCATACCATAAGGTTTATTTTTCAGATGTGGAGGGAAGTCAGATTTGACCTGTGAGGACCGTGAGAGGTCAAATCCAAGATGGCCGCCAGTCTCTCGGGTCAAATGTTCAAACACGCTTAATTTTGGAACCAAACATTGTAGAAAAACATTTAAGGTGT